ACCAGATTAGGTCACGCATGATAACCTCGACAGTTATCCACAGGGAAACTGAGTTCGGACATCCGCCGAATCCAAATTCTGCTGTTAGCAACACGGATCCTAAGGCTACATTCATCATGTAAGCTTGGATAGGGATTAGGTCCCGATATCGTTGCACTTTCCTGGCCACCCTGTTATCCCAAAGTTCCCAAAACACAGCGCTGAACGATGTCCAGGAATCACTTTTGCTTACCATATCAGTTAATCAGCAGCAGCTGCTTATGGAATGTATCTACAACGCGCCAAACTGCAGCCAAGAAGACCTGGAAATTTTGCCGCTTGCATTTGAATGCGTCGCTAGGCTACCATTTATACATAGGATTATTGGAAGTGATTTCACCCTGCCGTCGATTTCATGGTCCATGGGAACCACTCTTTTGAAATGCAAAATCTCAGCTCCTGTATCCAAATGAATGGCTGGCAGCAACACGTCTCCCAACCTACCAGAGGTAAAAGTACTCTGGATCTCATTTTTTCTTTGAACATACCCGCAATCAGTGTTAAGGTTCTTGCTAAATTTCCAGGGAGTGATCATCGTGTGATCAATCGCTTGGCCAATGTACAGAACACAATGCATTATCTTTTGTTCATTTCCGTCAATCGGAACTCGTTCATGGACCTGGTTGGTTAGAGGAATTAGGAGGACTTCTTTCTCTCTTCAGGTGCTGAACAAACGACGGAGCTGTTTTGTAATATAATTGGCTTCTGTATCAATTCAACGGTACTGCTAAAAGGTGCTTACCAAACTAAACATAAATCCGATCGCAAAACCTTAAAGGTAGAACGAAAGCTGCATAAGATTCGGTGGAAATTCAAGTTAACCACTAACTTTGCACTGTTATTACAGCAGTCTAAGATCATCGAGGAACAGCGGCATAAGAATGACAAAAATCTCATTCTAGTAGAGTATGAACCTCTGAACGCCCCTAGCCAAACAAGTGAACTGATTAAACTGTTCCATACCCGGGGTTCGCGTCGCAGCAACAATTTTACTTTTATCACCACGCCTGATGGGACATACTTCGACGTACCAAGTGATATCTACAAGTCAACCTGGGGAGGACAATAGCTTCATTTTTCCAACTTCGCCCGGTGGCATACAAGCGCGGTCTTGTGAAAACGCTACATTGTGAAAAGCTACATTCCTGAGACCATGTTGCCAATGTTAGTAAACACAAGCTCAGATCTGCTCTAACACGTACCTACACGACCGCTCAGCTGCGACTCGTCCACACCACACGCAGCATTGCTCTAAACAACCATCAGACCAGCTCGATAGACAGTTCGGCCTCTCACATCATGTACCGGTTCACGTGCAGTTACGATGACACACACGTAGACAGGACTGAGCGTCGACTATCTCCAAGGGTAATTGAACACTTCGCAAAGTGGCTAGGGCAATCGTTGTGACAACAAGATGGAGTGGATCAAGCGATGAACTGGAACCTAGTTTCCACCATCACTAAGCACCCTATAATGACAAACGGATTGCAGAATAGCTCCCAGGAACGTGATCTTGGTGTGATCGTACAGAGCGACCTCAACTGTTCAAAACAGGCTGACGTAGCTGCAAAAAGAGGCAACCAGCACGTCGGAATACTGCGAAGGGCATTCGGGAGATTTGACCCATCAATCTTCCCAATGATGCACAATTCCTACGTGCGCCCGCATGTTGAATACGCTATCCAAGCTTGGCAACCTTGGTTGAAGCGCGACCTGGAAGCGATAGAGGCACCACAACGAAGAGCAACAAAGAATGTAAAGGGCCTGCGCTATCACTCTTACCACCGAAGGCTGAAGTTGCTGGGAATTTTCAGCGGACGCTATCGAAGGCTGCGCGGCGATCTCATATTAGCGTATCAGATACTGAGTGACCCCAACCACGTATGCCGCCATTTGCTGAAACTTAGCCACAACACGCAGCTCAGGGGTAACTGCCTAAAGTTGAAGGAACAATATAGCCGTCTAGAGTGTCGACGGAATTACTTTTCCCTTCGGGTTTGCCAACCCTGGAACGCACTCCAGACTCACTTGTATCCTCTCCTACCTTGGATGTTTTCAAAAAACGATTAGATGTTGCTCTCAGCTCCCAACATTTTGTTACCTAAGCTCCTCTACTGTGGATTACGCCAAGCATGCTTTTCAACAGGATTTATGTATCAAATGGAACTAAGTGAGCGACCATATTTTACTTTTCTCACTCCTTACATCAACTATCACTGTATCCCAGTGTCTTTCTGAACGTTTACGCGCGATAATTTTTTTTCATTTTACACCGATGTTAATTATCAAAGTATTCATCTCAGCAGACGTTCGATAGATGACCCAGACATTTTAATTGCATCATATTCACCGCTACCATCCTACGGGACGTGTCAAGCACTTGCTTTTATCCTGTGATAAATCATTGTTCATTGTTCATCAACCGGTGAACCTGACCAGCTGCTTTAAGGCAATATTGCACAATATGAATGCTAACCTACTGGCAATAAGTGAGGCATTATTGATAAGTATGAAGCTTCCAGTGCTCGGTGCCCAGAAACAACTAAGGCACTCAACTAGATTGCCATGGACCTGATTGCATCATACACACCTATTTTCGTTTTGCTTATCCGTATTACTAAGCTACTCCTAAATAACACCCCGTGCCTTGCTCGTATTGCCTTGCGATTGAAGAGTACATCCGAAATGCTGACATTTCGCAATCCCTATCATCGCGCTGCGTTAGTGAAAATCTTGCAATGCATTAAACTCTCTGTTTAACCTAATTATTCCAAACCAAGTGGCTGGAAGTCGACTTATAAAGAGAAAATCCGGCACCAGTCCTGTAGCTGAAGCTTGTTTTCAGATGCTGCAAACGGAGTTTGTTCGTAAGTGTTACAGTGGTTTGCAAGCTCTGTGGATGAATACCATTGCAAACGGACGACTCGTTGCGTTAACTGTTCAAGTGCAGCGGAATGAAAATTTCTTACATTTCTGAAATACTGGTCATCATCCACTGTTACCTGGGTCATGGTCGAGACAATAGAAGCATCAGCGGGGATGGGCACAGTGGGATGAATACAGAGGCGAAGCGAAGTCTTCTATTGGCCCCGTCATGTCACATCTCTTAGAATGCGATCATGCAGACTCTGAAAACTACTTCAGAGTGATCTACTCTATTCTTGAGCGTTCTTGGTTCGGATTCCGCAAGCATCTTCTATCTATTGTGGAAGGTATCTACACCCGCCACCTCAAGTGGGCGTTGTGAGTACAAAAGCGATTAGTATGCCCCTTACTTTTACCGTGGCCTACGAGTTCCGTCGCACGATCCATTGTTTTGTGCCCCAGTTACTCTTAGTTGGTGAAAGTGATTTGCTCTTGTACATAATCTGAAACCTTCAGTGACTGCCTGATTTATCGATTCACTTCGGTTGGAATTAAATGTTCTAGTCAATATCCAGCCCTAGTAGACATCTTTAGTATGTCATTGTCATCTTGGAAAGTCTGGGTGATAAGAGTTACCGAGAAAAATCTTGCATCTGCCTCCATTCGATTCATTCTGGTAAGTGGGACTTTCCGGATTGCTGTAAATTAGCATCCACTTGATTAAATCAAATTTTGTATATCCAATCAGCATGTTCATCGTTTAATACACATTCATGAAGTCGAGCACCTTCGTGGTTACTTAAGCGGTGGGAAATGCTCAAAGAACGGTATCAGGAGTTACTAAAAATAACGCACAAAAGGCGGTCGTCTGTATGTCAACTACGGATGCATTTACCTTGGTCATTGGACAGCACATGTAGTGCGTATAGCTATTAGGCTACGTTAGACCGAAACTTGCAAACAAGTGACACGCAAGTAGGTGAATGCGCGCTTTGATCATTGGTGCAGCAACGATTCCAGACGGCTTCGCCGTTGATCCCAAAAGTGGACACGCACGTCGCCATCTGGGATGGTGAGGTGAACTGGTTAGTGGACAGTTGCCTGAGGCACGGAAGTTTCGGAGGCTGGCAGGGTAACCAGAGAATAGTGGAGAGATTAGGTCACTTCTCCAACGATTTAGCGCCCGTACGTGAAGAGTTTAGTAGATGAGAGAAGCAACTTGATGTCTCTCAGGCAAAGCAACTGAGAAGCGGATTCCCTATTTGTTTATTAGAAGCGCCACCTGGCTGGTGGACGATACGGAAGCTTATTTAGTTTGTGCTAAGCATCGGTTCTTGTGAGTAATGGGACATCATCCGGACTAGTGACATTTGCGGCGCTGATAGCTTCCTGTTTGCAGTGGGTAAGAATAATATGCTTAACAGTTCCCCGTAGGTTGCTCAGAGAGAGAAGCTAAAATGCAAAGATTATGCATATTAAAATCAAGGTCGTGGAAATAAAAGCGTACTAGGCAAAACATGAGAGTAAGTTATCATACTAAACACTTCTTATAAAGAAAACATTCGGATGTTTCTCCCGTCTGCACCGATTTTGTTGAATCAGTATGAATTACAATTCCAAATAAGCAAAATTGCCAGATTGCATTCCAGAGTGCTGGCTCATGTAACAAAAAGTGCAGGAAGTTGGGTGCGATTTCCAAACCTAGAATGAAGATAGCTGGCAAGAAGGCACGGACAACTGAGTTTGGAAGCGTGTTACAGGGTCGGAAGACCCGGAGAGAGAAGTAATTTCGTCGACAATCTAGACGGCGGTATTTTTGACCGAATTTCAAGATATGGCATTTCAGTTTGGTGTTTTAACTGACTACAAGAATGGCGTCATACCTGATTGGGATCGTTCTGTATTTGGTATACCATTACGAGGTTTTCGCGTAACCGCTGTTGCTCCAACTGAACACTTGGAGTTTCCTCAGCCGCTACTTGTGTCGAAGATGGCACACACTCCTGATGTTTTTGTCAAGCGACGTCGTCCTACGAGACCGCGCCTTATTCATGATTGCTAAGCATGAATAGGGTAATCAAGTGAACGTACTTAGGCATTTAATACCAAAGAGAAAATGAATAAATCCGGATTCCCGAGTGCCCTCCAAACTGATGATTATTTCTTTTTGAAGCGAACACAGACTATATGGGACAATGGAGGTCACAT